CTGATGAGGGAACCGCTTCAACGGGAAACACTCGAGAGAGACAAGATTATGGCCGCCCGTAACATGCCAAGCGCAGCCCGCGGTGCCAAATGGGGGGGGGGGGGTAAAGGGTGCCAAAAGGGTGATGAAGGAGGGGGACAGAGGGGGGGTGAAGGAGGGGGTAAAGGGTGCCAAAAGAGGGGGATGAGGGGGGGAGGGGGAAGGTGTCAAATGGGGGATGAAGGAGGGGGGAGGGTGCCAGAGGGGGGATGAAGGAAGGGGGGGGAGAGGTGTCAAAGGGGGGATGAAGGAGGGGGTGGAGGGGGGAGGGGGTGATGGTGCCAAAAAGGGGAAATGAGGGGGAAAGGAGTGCCAGAAGGGGGGTAGGGGAAAGGATGCGAAAAGTGAGGATCAGCGGGGGAGGGAAAGGGTGCCAGAGGGGGGGGGGGAGGGGAGATGCCAAAGGGGGTTGAAATTGAATGGTACCAAAAGGGGGGGGGGTTGAGAGGGGGGAAGGCGCTGCTGGGGGGGGAGGGGAGGGTACCATAGGGGTCAAGGATTCAGAAAGAGGGCGCGAGTGGTGGGGGGGGAGGGGAGTGAGGGTGCCAAAAAAAAAGGGGGGGGGTGGCAAAAGGTGCGGAAGGGGAAGCGAAGTGCCAGCTGTCATGACACAAATGACAGGCCCCTGTTTTTCGCTTTTTACTTCTACTTTCATATTTATTTTATTATACATTTCTTTTTTTTCTCTCTTTTTCTTTTTCTTTTCTTTTTTTTTGGGGGGGGGGGTTCTTCCTTTTCTGGCACTCTCCTTGGCCCTTACGTCGAGTGCCAGTGCCAGGGAGGTTGATGTCTCTTCGCACAAAAGCCATGTCTTTCTGTCAGTCTCTCTCTGTCTATCTGTCTGTCTGCTTCTTTCTTTCTGCTTTGCTTTTTTTTCTTTCTTACTCTTTCTCTATTTCTCTGTCTGTCAGTTTCTCTCTCTTTCTCTCTCTCTCTCTCTCTCTCTCTCTCTCTCTCTCTCTCTCTCTCTCTCTCTCTCTCTCTCTCTCTCTGTCTCTCTCTCTCTCCCTCTCTCTCCCCGTCTCTCTCTCTCTCTTTCTCTCTCTCTCTCTCTCTCTCTCTCTCTCTCTCTCTCTCTCTCTCTCTCTCTCTCTCTCTCTCTCTCTCTCTCTCTCTCTCTCTCTCTCCCCTTTCTCTCTCTCTCTCTCTCTCTCTCTCTCTCTCTCTCTCTCTCCCCTTTCTCTCTCTCTCTCTCTCTCTCTCTCTCTCTCTCCCTCTCTCTCCCCTTTCTCTCTCTCTCTCTCTCTCTCTCTCTCTCTCTCTCTCTCTCTCTCTCTCTCTCTCTCCCTCTCTCTCCCCGTCTCTCTCTCTCTCTTTCTCTCTCTCTCTCTCTCTCTCTCTCATCCTTATTCTCTCTCCTTCTCCATCAATCCGGAAATAGGTAATAATAATAATAATAATGATAATGGCGATTAATGATAATGATAATAACAACGAAAATGATTTATTTCGTTTAAAGTATAAAGGCTACATTTAATTTTTATCCCAAACCACAAAAAAAGAGAAAAGACCAGAATTGAAGTCCCTAAAAGCCACTGTCTCCCCTTGCATACCAGGCGCCCCTTGCAACGAAGCAACAATTATTAGGTAATATGAGTGAGTTTTCCTTCAGGTAATATGGTAATTATTGTAGGTAATTAGGTAATATGAATATAGGTAATTAGGTAATATGAATGAGTCTACCTCCAGAACGCCTTTTAGCTTTCTTGATCTGCAACGCGACCGGAAGTAGATGGAGCGTGGGTGAGGTCGGAGGTCGTTGCTCGTTGTTATTGCAGTGTTGTTGCAAGGTGTCTGTGGTGAGGTGGTTGAGAGATGGGGGGAGGAGGGGGGGAGGAGGGGAGGGGAGGAAGGGCGGAGAGGGAGGAGGGGGGGAAGGAGGGAGAGAGGGAAAGGGGAGGAGGAGAGGGGAGGAGGGAAGAAGAGGAGGGGTAGGGGAAGGGTGTAGGAAAAGGAAGAGGAGGAGGGGAGGAGAGGGGGGGAGGGGCTAGGAGGAAGGAAGGAGGGGAGGGGGGTTAGGAGGACAGGAGGAGGGAGGGGGGAGGGCGGAGGGAGGTGCCAAGTGACGGGGGATGGGCGGGTATTCTGAGCGTTGTCTTGGGGTGGGGTGGGAGGCGGGGGGTGGGGTGTTATTTCTCTTTTTATTGACTTCATTTATATATTTATTCTTTATGTTTTTATTACTTTTCTTTCGTGTTTTTTTCGTTGTTTTTTTTTTTGTCTTTTTTTTCCTTTTCTTTTTCTTTTATTCATTTTTTTTCTCTCTCCTCCTCCATGCCCTGTACAAGCGTCTTCTTCTTCTTCTTCTTTTCCTTCTTTTTCCTCTTCTCCTTCTTCATCATCATCTTCTTCATCTTCTTCTTCTCCTTCTTCATCTTCCTCTTCATCTTTTTCTTCTTCTTTTTCATCTTCATCTTCTTCATCTCCTCCTCCTCCTCTTCCTCCTCCTCCTCTTCCCTCCCTCCCTTCCCCTGACGCCGCTCCTTCCTCGGGTTGCATCGGACGCCGTGTAACCGAATCGAGTGTTTGGTAACCGTAAGCTTTTGTGTTGATGGGGGGAGGGGGGAGTGGAGGAGGGGGGAGGGGGATAGGGTGGAGGAGGGGGAGGGGGTGGAGGAAAGTAGGATGGGGGGATGGGATGGAGGAAGAGGAGGGGGGAGGAGGGGGTTTGGGGTGGAGGAAGGGGAGGATAAAGGAGGGGAAGGGGAGATGGGGGACGGGTAGAGGGAAGGGGGTAAGGGAGGGGAGGGGGAAGAGGGTATGGGTGGAAGGGAGGAAGAGGAGGGGGAGGAGATAATGGGAAAGGGAGAGGGAGAAGGGGGGGAGGGGGAAGATAGCAAAAGAGTGGAGAAGGGGAAGTGGCGGAGTGATTAAGGAGAAGAGAGGGAGGAGGGGGAAGAGGAGAAGGAGAGGGGGGGGGAAGGGAGGGGAAGGTGTGTGAAATGGCGTAGGGGAGGGTGAAGAGGTAGGAGAAAGGGAAACAGGTGAAAATAGATAACGAAGTGAAAGATTAGAGGGAGGGGGATGGAAATGAGGGAAGTGGAGAGAGAGAGAGAGAGAGAGAGAAGAGGTAGAGAGAGAAAGAGAAAGACGTAGAGAGAGAGAGCGAGAGAAGAGGTAAAGAGAGAGAAAGAGAGAAGAGGAAGAGAGAGGAAGAAAAAGAGAGCGAGCGAGCGAGAGAGAGAGAGAAGAGGTGGAAAAAAGAGAGAGAACAGATGGAAAGAGAGACAGAAGAGGTGGAGAGAGAGAGAGAGAAAAGAAAAAAAAAAAAAGAAAGAGAGAGAGAGAGAGAGAGGAGGGGATGAGAGAGGGGGAGGGGGAAGGGGGGGTTGGTCCTCCTTTCGCGCGCGTATGTGTTTCCATTTAAGGCAAACAGGTTGTTGACACGTTGGAGGCGGGCGCGAGGAGAGGGGCGGGTCCTTCCCTGGCGCCAGGAATGCGGCGTGGCCCTCGCGGCGTCCCTTTGGTCCTCGGGGTTTGGGGGGGTGGGGGAGAGGGGGGAGTTCGGTTTTCTTTGCAAGTGGCTTGGTTTGGGTCATCATCATCATTACATTATCATTATCACCATCATTATCATCTTCGTCATCACTATCATCATCATTATCATCATCATCATCCTTTTTATCATCATCCTCTTCATCATCATCATCATCGTATTATTATTATTACAATCAACATTATTACTCCGTCAAGCAATCCAACTGGTGCTTGCAGATTACATCGTTGGAACCACACCTCTGAGCGACGCTTTGCAATGCACTTTGCACACTGGCCTAATGCACCACCTGTTGCAGGGCGATTGCATCTTGCCAGTGACCGTGTGATCCCAGCATCCACATTCTCTCTTGGAGGGGAAGAGGGAGGGAGGGAGGGAGGGAGAAGGAGGAAGAGAAGGGGGGAAGGAGAGGGAGGGAGAGAAGGGAGGGAGGGAGGGAAGGAGAAGGAGAAAGGTAGAGAGGGAGGGAGGGAGAAAAGGGAGAGAAGGGGTAGAGAGGGAGGGAGGAGAGGAGGAACTGGGTAAGAAGGGAAAGAGAGAGAGAGAGAGAGGAAAAAAAAGAGAGAGAATTTACATGTGTGTGTGTGTGTGTGTGTGTGCGTATACATCACATGCATATCTTGTCTGCATACATATGTACACACACAGGTACTTCCCCACTGAGCTCCCCACAAACCCGCCCTCATTACAAGGACCACGACTTCTTGATTAAATAACCGGTTGCGTCATGAGCGGTAATTAGGATGAGCCTCTAGGGGGGGGGGGGGGGTAGGATGAGCCTCTAAGGGGGGAGGGGGAGGGGGAGTGGGGGTGTCATTGGCCTCCTGGGGTTCACGAGACGCTTGGTGGTCACGAAGGCAGTCGGGAGCGCTTCCTCGGGTGGCACTTCCGGTTGGGGAGGGAGGGGGGGGAGAGGGAGGGAGTCACGGCGTTGGGATGTCGGCGTTGCGAGTGTGGGTTGTGTGTGGGTGTTTGTTTGTTTGTTTGTTTGTGTGGGTGTGTGTGGTTGGTGTTTGTTTGTTTGTTTGTGTGTGTGTGGGGTTGGTGTTTGTTTGTTTGTGTGTTGAGAGTGTGTGTTGCAGAATGTAGGCCTACGAACGTTTTCGTGATCGCTTGATAAAGAAGCGGCCGACACCGCAACGACATAATGGATTTAATTCATAACGTTATATGATTTTATAACATATTTTTTGGTATCATGTATTTTTAACCAAGTTGTGTAATGAAACTTTGGTAAAAACATATTAACTTGTAACATGAGTTCGTAGCAATATGTTGTAGTTGCAACGTGAATTTGTAGTAACATGCTTTAGTTGCAACATGATTTTGCTGCAAAATAATGTAGTAACATGTTTTAGTTGCAATGTGAATTCGTAGTAACATGCTTTAGTTGCAACATGATTTTGCAGCGAAATGATCCCTGTGTTTGCCCGACTTTGCAATAACCTGCCCCGTTCCGTTGCAGCTGCAGCACCTGGTGGTGAGCGGCGAGTTGGCCTGCAGCAAGGAGGAAGCCGCATCCCTCGCCTGCATCCAGCTGAGGATCGAGGAGACGTGGGCGCCACCCGACCCCCCCTCCTCCGCCCACACCTTGCCCCCCACCTCGACGCACGCCCACCATGCCAGCACCCCCGCGCCCACGCCCACGCACGCCCTCTCGCCGGGGCCGGGGCACGCTAGCCTCTCGGCCACGGTGCCCGCCCGCGACCCGACCTTCAGTTTCGGGGTCGCCAACAGCCATTCCACGCCCACGGGACTCTACGGACACGCCCAGACGCACGCCTACGCCCCTTCGTCGCTAGCCCCGCCCACTGCCTCTAGCTTCCTCCAGTCCCACGCGGGCTACCACGGGGGCTTCCTCGCCTCCGCCCACACGCACCAGAATGGAAAGGTCAGCTGCTTTTGGTTTTGGAATACATTTTTAAAAATACATTTCAAGGTCAGACATTTTCATTCACTCTCTCTCTCTCTCTCTCTCTCTCTCTCTCTCTCTCTCTCTCTCTCTCTCTCTCCTTTCCCTCGCTTTTGTTGACAAGGAAACCGAAATTCCGGATTTTCCTATTTTTTACTCTTCGTCTGACATTTTTTTTGATGGATTCATCGGCCAAGGTCAGGTGCTTTTGGTTTTGGAATACATTTTTTTTTTTATACATTTCAAGGTCAGACTTTTGTTGCCATTCAAGGGAGAGCGAAGGACCGATTTTCCTATTTTTTCCTTTTCGTCTGACCTTTTTTATAATGTACTCTTCGGCCAAGGTCAGCCCCGTTTGGTTTTAGAATACTTTTTTATATTTCAAGGTCAGTCGCTTTTGTTGCCATTCAATGGAAACGAAATTCCGATTTTCCTATTTTTCCTCTTCGTCTGTTCTTTTTTTAATGTATTTTTCGTTCAAGGTCAGGCACTTTTGTTTTTAGAATACATTGTTTTTTGTTTTTTGTTTTCTTTTTTTTTAATACATTCCAAAGTCAGGCGCTTTTGTTGACAAGGAAAACGAAATTCCCGATTTTCCTATGTTTTACTCTTCGTCTGAGCATTTTTTTAAATGTATTTTTCGGTCAGTCGCTTTTGTTCAACGGGACTTACAAACGAAGGCCCGATTTGCCTAGTTTTCCTCTTCGTTTTCCTCTTCGTTTTCTTCTTCGTTTTCCTCTTCGCTTTCCTCTTCGCTTTCCTCTTCGCTTTCCCCTTCGTTTTCCTCTTCGCTTTCCTCTTCGCTTTCCCCTTCGTTTTCCTCTTCGCTTTCCTCTTCGCTTTCCTCTTCGCTTTCCTCTTCGCTTTCCTCTTCGCTTTCCTCTTCGCTTTCCTCTTCGCTTTCCTCTTCGCTTTCCTCTTCGCTTTCCTCTTCGTTTTCCTCTTCGCTTTCCTCTTCATTTTCCCCTTCGCTTTCCTCTTCGCTTTCCTCTTCGTTTTCCTCTTCGCTTTCCTCTTCGCTTTCCTCTTCATTTTCCCCTTCGCTTTCCTCTTCGCTTTCCTCTTCGTTTTCCTCTTCGCTTTCCTCTTCGTTTTCCTCTTCGCTTTCCTCTTCGTTTTCCTCTTCGCTTTCCTCTTCGTTTTCCTCTTCGTTTTCCTCTTCGCTTTCCTCTTCGCCTGCATTCTTCGGCCAAAAGCTCTCACTTGGAGTTTCTTCTCTGGAGGGAACGCCGGATAGACCTTTTTAATGACGATAATTCACCCTTATGTCTCTCTCTCTCTCTCTCTTCTCTCTCTCTCTCTCTCTCTCTCTCTCTCTCTCTCTCTCTCTCTCTCTCTCTCTCTCTCTCTCTCTCTCTCTCTCCTTCAACCATTCCCTGTCTCCAACCCTCCTTCCCTCCTTCCCTTCTTCCTATGTCCACTTGTGACAGGTAATCTTTCTTCCCTCCCTCCCTCTTTCCTTCTTTATTTCCCTTCCTCCTTCCTTCCCTCCTTTCCCTCCCTCCCTCCCTCCCTCCCTCCTTCCGTCTCTCATCTCTTTTATTTTTCATTTTCTTTTGATAAAATATAAAAAAAAGAAAATATAAAGAAAGAGCGAGAGAGAGAGGGAAAGAGCGTGAGAAAGAACGAGAGAAAGAGCGAGAGAGAGACAGACAGACAGACAGACAGACAGACAGACAGAAAGAATCCGTAAAATTAATATTATATCCAACAAAGAAGTATCATATTTGTCAAAAAAAAAAAGAAAAAAAAAATCGAATTAGAAACGCCTTTTTGTCTATTATTAGGACAATTATCTCTAGATTTACTCCCTTGTACATTGTTATTTTTTTCCTATAGCGCAGTTTCCTCTGTCCTCACTATCATTATATAATTAAATAAAGCGCTGTTGCCACTAATTTCATTTTTAACCTCATGCAAAAGCGGCGTTAAAATATTGCATTTTTATGGCGCATTACAATCGCCTTTTTTTGGGGGGGGAAGGGGGGCTTGAGGGTGTGTTTCTCTTTCGTTTTTTTTTATTTGTTTTGTTTATTATTATTCCTTTCTCTAGTTTCGTTTTTTTCTTGTCTTCCTTTTGTTCTCTTTTCATTTGTTTGCGTTTTTCTTCCTTCTTTCTTTTCTTTCTTTCCTTTCTTGGTTCGGTCTTCCTACTTATCTCTTCGTCTTACTTTTGTTTATTCTCTCATTTCTTCTTTCTTTCTTCCTTTCTTCTTTCTTTCTTCCTTTCTTCCTCCTTACCTTTCCATCTCCCTTTCTTCTCTTCCTTCCTTCCTTCCTTACTTCCTCCTCACCTTTCTATCTTCTACCTTTTCTTTAATTCTGTCTTTCTTTCCTCTCTTCCATCTACCTTACTTTCCTTTCTTTTATTCTTTTATTTTCGTTTCTTTTTTCGTTTCATTTCTTTTATTTTCGGTTTTTATTTTCGTTTCATTTCTTTTATTTTTGTTTCTTTTATTTTCGTTTATTTCTTTTCGTTACATTTCTTTTATTTTCGTTTATTTCTTTTCGTTACATTTCTTTTATTTTCGTTTATTTCTTCTCGTTTCATTTCTTTTATTTTCGTTTCTATTTTCGTTTCATTTCTTTTATTTTCGTTTCTTTTATTTTCGTTTCATTTCTTTTATTTTCGTTTCGTTTCATTTCTTTTATTTTCGTTTCTTTTTTTTCGTTTCATCTCTTTTCTTTTCGTTTCTTTTCTTTTCGTTTAATTTCTTTTATTTTCGTTTCATTTTTCTTCTTTTCGTTTCTTTTATTTTCGTTTCATTTCTTTTATTTTCGTTTCATTTCTTTTATTTTCGTTTCATTTCTTTTATTTTCGCTTTTCGTTTCATTTCTTTTATTTTCGTTTCTTTTATTTTCGTTTCATTTCTTTTATTTTCGTTTCATTTCTTTTATTTTCATTTATTTTATTTTCGTTTCTTTTATTTTCGTTTCATTTCTTTTCTTTTTGTTTCATTTCTTTTATTTTCGTTTCATTTCTTTTATTTTCGTTTCATTTCTTTTATTTTCGTTTCTTTCCCTCATTAAAGACTTCCGTAGTTGCGTCGTTAGCTGGCGATGACGTCACGGCGCGGTAAGGGGACACCTAGGTCAAAGTCGCGGCCATCTTGACTTTGGCTTCGGCTTTGTCTTTGCGTTCGCCTTTGGTCTCTCTCCCTTTGGGTTATCTTGTTTTGCTTTCTTCTTATTCTTGTTTATTCGTATTTTTTTCTTCGTATTTTTCTGCGTTTTTTATTATTCTTTCTTCTTATTCGTGTTTTTTTTTCTTCTGCGTTTTCTTCTTGTTATTCCTTCGTCTTCTTCTTCTTTCTCATTTTTCTTCTGCCTTTTCTTATTCTCTTTCTCTTCTTCTTTCTTCTTCTTCTCCTTCTTCCCTCTTTTTCTACGTGTTTTTTTTTATTTTCTTCTCTTTTCTTCAACCTCATTTTCCTTCTTCTTCCTTATTCTCATCCTCTCATTCTCTCTTTTGCTTCTCCCTTATTCATCACGAAAGGGAAGGAGGAGAAAGAAGGAAGGAGAGACGAGAGAAGAGAGAAAGAGACAGAATCAGAAAAAGGAGACAGAAACAGTGACAGATCGAATGAGAGGGAGGGGGGAGGGAGGAAGAAAGAGGAAGGAGAGAGAAATAGAGACAGAAACAGACATACACGCACGGAGAGAGAGGAAGAGAAGGAGAAAGAGAGAGAGAGAGAGAGAGAGAGAGAGAGAGAGAGAGAGAATAGAGAGAAGGGGAAAGAGAAAGAGACAGAGAGAGAGAGAGAAAGAGAGAGAGACAGAGAGAGAGTAGAGAGGTAAAGAAAGAGACAGAGAGAGAGAGAGAAAATGGAGAGGTTAAGTAAGAGAGAGAGAGAGAGAGACAGAGAGAGAGAGAGAGAATAGAGAGGTAAAGAAAGAGAGGGAGAGAGACAGAGAGAGAGAGAGACAGAGAGAGGAGGGAGAAAGAGATGATGGATAATAGGGGCAGATAAGTAGCCTATTGATAGGATAAAGAGAAGGCTGAAGAGGGTGGATGGATGGGAAGGGGGGGGGGGAGGGAGAAAGGGAGGAAGGGAGGGAGAGGGAAGAAAGAGAGGGAGGGACAGGGAAGAGAAAGAGAAAAGGAGGGAGGGAGAGAGAGAAAGGGAGGGAGGGAGAGGGAAGAGGAGAAAGGGAGGGAGGGAGGGAGAGGGAAGAAAGGGAGGGAGGGAGGGAGAGGGAAGAAAGGGAGGGAGGGACAGGGAAGAGAAAGAGAAAAGGAGGGAGGGAGAGAGAGAAAGGGAGGGAGGGAGGGAGAGGGAAGAGGAGAAAGGGAGGGAGGGAGGGAGAGGGAAGAGGAGAAAGGGAGGGAGGGAGGGAGAGGGAAGAGAAGAGAAAGGGAGGGAGGGAGGGAGGGAGAGGGAAGAAAGGGAAGGAAGGAGAGGGAAAAGGGAGGAAGGGAGGGCGGAAAAGAGAGAAAGAGCGAGAGAGAGAAAGAGAGAGAGAGAGAGAGAGAGAGAGAGAGAGAGAGAGCGAAAGAGAGAAAGAGACTGAACGAGAGAGAGAGAGAAAGAGAGAGAAGGAGAGAGGGGGGT